CACAAAAAACTTACGCGACCAGTCGATTAACGGAGTTACGGCCGCAGTGCCCTGGTCCGCAGATTTACACCGAATCCTGTAAGGCAACCTGAGGAACTTGGCAGCAACTAATTGGTCTATGAGACCAATAGCGCGACCCCAGCGTACGGCCGTCTCGCAGCCATCGTCTGCGCAGATATGACGAAGAAACTAGCGTGAATAAGAAGTGAGACACAGTATATTAATAATTTTTCCTTCTAAACATTTCGCTGGCGGTGATAAAAATCAGACTCACGAACAATAATTTGGTGAATGATGTACATACTGGGGGTTTACGACCTGCTCCGAGAGTAGGCCACTGAAAGTTACAAGAAAATTGTCGCGTATTAAAACAATGTTGCCAGAATGCTCAGAAACTTCACGACCAGGAGCATCTGGTAATAGCCGACGTTTTCCTTCCTTGGTAATTCAGCTCTTCATCGTCATTCATTGGAGGGTAAAAAGTCTGTCTATTTATACTGTCGACATTCCAGCGTCCTGTCAAATTGGTTCCACGATGCTCGCGTCCAATACTTGACGCCAACCTAAACAGCCACCTCCAAGTACATACTGTTTTTGTTTGCGCAGCAACTTCTTAACAAGGCTGTTCGAGTTTTTTAACTCAACACTAAAACGGGTGTAGCAGAAATTAACCAAAAGGAAATGTTTCCAAAAGAACTGACAATTGAATGGCCTGTACATGAATGTAAGTTTAAGAAGCTAGATTTGGGAAACGGTTAAACTATGGGCAACTATTTCAAATGTGTCTATCCCATAACATTTGAGGCGCTTAAGTCTGAAAGCAGATAATGAGCTCTCAGTAATTTGACTATTACGGCGCGTGGAGTATAGTTTTGCGTGATATGCGAACGGGGCGATCAGCCTCTTGATTCATTTTGCAAGGCCTGACCTATAAACAGCTCACCTAGTCACGCCATAGAACTTGGAGGACGAAGGACAGTGTTTTCACTATAACGAAACGCATTAGCGGGAAAGCTCCGTAAAGGATGAGAAACCCTAATACCAACGACGGAAAAACTAAGCTTTGAGTACAGACGCAGCTTTAAGGTTGTTCTTCTTCCTAAATACAAAGACATAATAGCATGTCACTGTAATGGAAGTGAGTAGAAGTATGCGGATCATTACCGTAAAAACGCTCAGAAGAACAGAAGCCGGGGAGAGAGAAATCCAGAGCCGCCGCACAGTAGAACTCCGACCAGCGGCGAGCAGAGATTCAACAATCGCAAGCCAAACGCTCTCAGAAGCGCTGGCCAACTGAAGCAGAGCCAAGAGGATCGATGTGTTGATCGGTGCTCTGATTGCGTGTGGTTTTTCTGTGGTCTGACGGTCTTCTCCTGCCCCTCCACCACCATTCGCGAGATCAGGGTCACTGGCTGCCTTGATCAATTCACCTTCGGTCGACAGTTCAGAAGTCCCTGAGGACGATACCAGTCTCAGGTTTCCTTTTAGCCTATTAGACAAAACATGCAATAAGACTGTTCGCTAGAAAAAAAAGTGGGAAAACATGAGCAATCATGTCGTGATTGGGATATAGTCGAGTTATTCAGTACGCAATAGCCAAACAGTCGAGGAGAATGAGGAGTCGAGTACCCTAGAATTGGGCTTTACTCATCTTATAATTGTCGTAAAAGAACTGAAAAGGGATGAATAACGGTTAGAATTATATAGACAATAATCAAGCGTTCATAAGGAGGCAGGGGTTAATGTTAATCAAGGAGTGTAAGAAGGTAGGGGTGAACGGTAAGCAACGAGTGTGATAAGGTAGGGATGAATGTTAATCAACAAGAGTGAGAGGATAGGGTTGAACGAGTGTCAGATTAGTATTAACACGACAAAACAACACTCCAAAACTGATGGAGAAAGTTGTGTCGGAAATACTATGAGCTAGATGATGACTCGAGTTGGGCCTTTGTGACTCGGGGAGCCTAGGTAAGGTACCCTGTGGAGAGAGTGTTCATGGATATGTATTCCACGATAAAACTACGGGGGTGAGACATTGCTACCAGAAACAACTTAAGATGAAGCAAGTCGAAAGCAACTATAACAAATAACGAAAAAAAACGGAACGGATGCTATACCGGTGATTTGTACATCGATTATTTGTTGATAAGGTAGACTTTCGCAATATCAACTGAACCCTCCCCTTAAAAAACAGGCTCCGATGGCGAGACAATGTCAAGACAACCGCAGATAGACTTGTATATACCACAAAATCAGACGCATGTTTACCTTAGGTCTAAACGCTGCATAATCTAATAAGCGAGAACCAATTTATCAGCGGTCCTTTCTGGGTTTGTGTGCTTTCTACTATAAGCACAGATACTAAATAGCAGTTGTGGACTGAATTAGGGTATTAATTCGCCACTGTACAAGAAGCAACTTCGCAGCTGACTCTCTCGATAGAGGAGAAAAAGTACCGGGGCCTATTGGGCAACGAATGCTTTTACTATGCCCCTAACGAACAAAATCGATAGGTGCGTGTGTAGCAGAGGGATAGGGGCAATTAGACACGTACAGTTCCTGAGTAATTCTCCCTCTGAGTTTCAGGGTCTGCATTAGGTTTGAATTAAGATCGAACTTTCAACATCTCTGAGTTTCCAC